GATGTGGCGAGCAGAAGTACCTGTCGCAAGAAGGTGGTGCTCAGGGAGATGCTCGAGAGATAGCAACGAATGGGATGTCGATCTGGTGTCTACTAAAGCGGCCGTGACCAGATCCCATGTACGCAGAGAGTGATCCCACGAAGTAGAGTAACCGACAGTTGAGTCGTTCGTGTCAAAAATGGCAGCTGAAACTGGCGCGGTGTGGGAAGACAACAGCGCAAGCGGGCCGCGCTGCGGGGTGCTGACGGACGAGCTCACCTTTCTGCGCTTGGAGCTGCGTGATGCAGCAGACGGAACTAGGTTCTCGGGAGCAGCTGGGGCATCTGACTTCTTTGTCGACCAAAAGCCAATGTTGTGGTCTGCCGAAGCGGAGAGAATACGGTTTGAGGGGGCATGCACAGCCAACGAGTTGATACCAGATTTGTGTCCGTAGAGCTCAATCTGCGGGGTGATCTTTCCTGAGAATCCATCATCGCTTTCGTTGTATTTCCAGAGTCGAACAGTGCGATCAAGGCCAGCCGACACGATCGTATTCGGCGAGACGAACTTAGCGGCTTTGATGGACGCACCGTGTCCTCCATCAGCCGGGGACGGTGAGGTTGCGACGATTTGAGACGACATATTCCACACTCGAAGCAACCCGTCGTAGCTGCCCGATAGGATCCTCTCCTGCCCCGGAGAGACGACCGCAGAAGCCCAAGAGGTAGCTGGCGAGGTCGCAGAGAGGACATCCACCGAGCCAACCCAGTCATCATGCTCGAACGAAGCAATATGAAGCGGGGGAATCAACGCTCTGATATACTCAATTTCCAGAGTAGTTTCCGCGGATATGCCATTGGCCGTCAAGTATTCATCGATCGAAGTCCGAAGGAATGCGCCATTGATCAAGAACTCAAATGGCACCGGCTTGTCGTTTCCCAAAAGATTGTTCACCAGGGTAGAAAGCGCATATCTCCGTAATCCTACAAACAGATAAAGAAGTTAGTGAGCACGTATGTGTATATAAGGCAGACTGGCAGCGATCTGCCAAAATGCATTCTTACCTGTGGGAACCAGAATGGGGCCGGTGCTCTCAGGCAGCGCAATGTCTTCTTGCTTGCTAAGTAGCTGCACACGCACCTGCCTCTGCGCAGACTGGGACGAGGCCGCAGCAGACGTCGAATCCTGAACGCCGTTCATAATGGCACTGAAGGGAAATATGGGGGTTATGAAGGGCGCGATCTAGAGCACTTCAAAGTGCAGTTGAGAAAACTCCACCAAGTGAGGAAAAAAATACGGCAACCGATGCGGCCACTTGTGCAAAGCGCGGAGATTCCCCGCCGCAACATTACGTACTAGATAAGTAGAAGAGCAAAAATATGCACCAAAGACAACAATATGCCATTTTGTTAAGTTTATATACATGGAAGTAAAGCTAAACGACTATTGCCCTCGTGATGCCCTTCTGATGTCCGCGATAGCCTTACGCCGGTAGTCGGATTCGGCAAAAAGAGCTTCGATCAGATCCACGACTTCGTCTGGAGAAAATTCTAGACGCAACTCGCCTTCGAGCCAAAGGAATTTGATGTCAGCAAGAGAGCTTTCCAATATATTGATAAGATACTGGAACTTCAACCAGTTCTGTACGTAGACGGCCGTCATAGGCGAACGCTCGGTGTTATCTGGGCCCTCAGGGATGAATAGATCTTCCAGCCCAGTCACTTGGTTGCAAAATGACACAAGTCGCTGTGACTGGGGCTCTGAAATGTCACCCAAATCCTCAATCTCGATTATCATCTTGCTGATGACAGTTGAAACCAATGAGCCGATCGATTGAAGAAGTGCAGACTGCGACAGGATAGGCTGCCATTCTTTGAAAACGTCGCGAATTCTGTCCACTGTTGCGCTGACCGCATTTTCGCATTCGCCAAGGAACGGTTGCTCTGAGCATTGGCTGAAGCCCTGTGCACCGTCTAGAAGGTCTGTGACAATTGTGCGTTGGGTCTGCATCTCTTTGCTGTAAGCCAGTTTTCCATATTTTTCAAGAGCTTCAATATCTGCATGAAGCCTGGCGAGCTGGTACTCCTCTGCGAGATCACGAACTTGACCGGCGAGATACAGGCTGTCGTTATATAAATACATCTGCCCAGCACTCAATTTGAGACCGTAGAAAGTTGAGGCTGTGGCTTTGAACATGGCCAATATCAAAGTTGGGAGTGCGAGAAGTCCTGTTCCGGAGGAAACCACACGTGAGTGGGCATGCCTGCAACGTATTAGAATCAATACAGAATTCTGACCATGAATGACTTACGCAGGCTGAGACAAGGCATTAGAGTCCACCACTTGTTGCTTGACGATACCCAGAATAGAGTCGGGGATGTCTGTGATGGTGTACTTTTCCCTCAAAGTAACCTCCCTGGGAGTGGAATGGCTGGCCCCACCCTTGCCATTGACAGTTGCAGGCACAACTGGTGTCTTGGGCTCTGAGACCTCGGCGTTCTGTTCTTCATCCTCGTCACCCCAGCCCCAGGCATCTCCAGCATCATCATCATTGTCCGCAGATGCCGTGGCTGTGCCATTTTTCGTTTTGGGGTCATGTTCCTCAGTATCATCATCCAGCCCCCATGCACTCACGTCTTCTTCATCGTCGAAGTTACTGGGCTGCTTCCCCTTAGAATCGCTCTCATTGTCTTCTTCCCAACCAGCGTCCCAATCATCAGGTGCAGCATTCTCCAGCAGCGCTTCGTCACTCCCAGAGACCTTCTCGACTTCAATTCTCTCAACCTCCTGTGTAGTGCCTTGGGAAGCAGCGAGGATTCTCCGAACCTGATCCAATGAATCAACACGCCTTCTAGCTATCCAGAGACGCGGAGCCTGGTTGACCCAAGAGATGAGTTCTTCTTGGCCGCGCCACTCGAAACCCTCAATGTTCTTCGTGAATTTAAGGACATGATCGAGCATTTGCTCAAACTGTCCTAAGCCTTCAAGATCGGTTGGAATAGCAGGTGATAGCCAGAACTCAATTATCTTGGAACACAGCGAGGGAATGAACATTTCCGAGAATGATTCCACAATAGGAACGGGAACATACTGCTTCAAGAAGCCCAATACCTTGACTAGGCGTTCAAGCAGCTCTGGTATTGATGCCGTTGATGGCTGCGGGTCAAGGTAAATCGTAGACCCTGAGACATGGCACTCATGGCTACGCCCAGTGGCTCCGGGCAGCAATATCGGATCAATTATCTTCGATATCAATTCCTTTTGGAACCTATCCCTGGCTGAGGGGAACATCTCAAGCCTAGTCAAGGCCACGATAGTCTCTTGCAATGTATCACCTAATGAAATATGTTAGTGAGCTGGAATGACCTGGCGCTATCCAACAGAAGAATCATACCGCTGTCCTTGGAAATGGTCAGCTTTCCCTCCGTCTTATCGATATGTAGCTGTTCGTTCCAGCGGTTACGAACAGCCTCCATGATATCTTTCCGCAGACCGGCGGCATTCTCCAGCAGTATGTGTAGAACGTTTGTGTTTGTGAAATGACTGCTTCGCTTGATGGCGTGTTCAGTGGATTCCAATATGTCAATGGCAGCCATGGTGCGGCCGTCTCCGAGAGCTGCTCGTCCGTCGTCTAGTTGTTTGCAGAGCTTTTGTACTTCTGTCAGCGCACTGGCTACCGCCTGATTGAACGCAATTTCGGTCTCAATGAGACCAACTTTCGCAGAAGCATCTTCCACTTTCAATTGCAAAGGCTGCGTTTTTTCATGTTGCTCGACAATTTCCCTCGCAGTGACTCTAGATCGTTCAATGTCTGCATGAAGCTGCTTGGCCTGTGAAATCCATCCGTCGGCATCGAAGTTGTTTTCACGACTGAGGAAGTTGATCTCGGCCTATGGGAAATTCTCATTTAGTTATACTGCCATCTGGGCTGCTACTTGTGCGGGGCTCCGCATTGAATACTACTTACTTCAACTTGCTCTCTAGCCTTCGATATCAGCTCCAATTCCTTGGCCAAGATAGAGCCAGAAAAGTCAGAGGCGACAACCTGCTCCGACCCTGGATAAGTACCATCGGTCACGAAATCCAGCACCGACTGGCCTATGTCCTGCTCCGATACCTTAGCAGACATCTTGTCAGTAAACAAGAGCCTTTGGTTCTTGGTAACGGGCGGATCAAAGACGTAAGGCAGGCCAACAGAAGAGCCACACTAAGCTCCGCTTCCCATGTAAAGGCGATCTGCCAGGTATCGATCCCCAAAGATATACCAAGGTATCCAATGAAGCAAATCGCAACCGAAAGGGAAGGCGAGCTGTCAACACCGCCATGTGACTTCACCGCTCACCGCCTTGGCTGCGATAGGCAAGACCACAAACGGTCTCGCTCTTCCCCACGGCCAAACTGAGACCATTTCTAAGTTTTCTTTTATTTTTTTGGGGGTGTCTTATCTGCAAGTATATTCTTCTTTTTTGGTTCGATGAAGATTTCTTCAAACCTAGATCTCGGTTGTCTTTTCGTGAAGTGTCTGTTGGTGAGGTGAGCTCTATCGGACCGGAACCTGAACTACTCCACTCTGAACCGTTACAGTTGGAGGGTAACCTTTCGTTCAGCGGCCAACTGTGTGACCTGAAAATTCCTGAAACAATCATAAGCGGCGTCAAGCAGAGCCCATCGTGTTGTCTCATTTACTATTGAGAAGCCTGATTCGGGCAAACGCTTCTCGATCCATGTGAGTCCATGCTAGTGCCAGCCCTGAACTCCATTGAATAAAAAAAAAAGCAAGAAAAGAGACTGCCCCTCCGTCGTTGTCTGTATTTAACATCCAATCCCTCAACTGGCAGCCTTGCATTGGCTGCCACAGTTTTGCGCAGTCATACAGCATGCTTCATGGTCTCCGTGATGTCGTATTATTACAATCTGCAATTCCCTTAATCTTGCTATTGGTATTTCAGACATGGAATGGGTGCTTTTCCCGTTTCAGTTCCCCGCATCCCGAACCTCAAGCATTGCTAGCTTCTTTTTTGAACTGAATACAACTGTTATACTTGCTTCTTAGACATCTGCGTTTCTGGTCTATGGAATACTAACAGTCTTCCAGATTATCATTACGGGGTGTGATCGCAGAATTTGGTTATAAATCACATTTCCAGAGACCATTGAGCAACATGTCATCTACCCAAAACAGCCATTTCAAGCTACTCCAAAAGTTTAAGCCGGAGTACTCGCCTAGCGAGTTTGCTCAGTATGAGTCGGAGAGAACAGGCATGAGGGTAGTGGTCATTGACCAAAAAGGACCCAAAGTCACAGGATATTTTGTTCTAGCCACTGAGATTCTCGATGACTCGGGTGCTCCTCATACATTGGAGCACTTGTGCTTCATGGGCTCTCGCAACTATAGATATAAGGGCTTCCTTGACAAGCTGGCAACACGTGTTTATTCGAGCACTAATGCCTGGACGGCCACAGATCACACGGCCTACACCTTGGACACAGCAGGCTGGGAAGGATTTGCTCAAATCTTACCCGTGTACCTAGAGCATGTTATAGCTCCAACACTGACAGATGAAGGGTGCTATACCGAAGTGCATCATATTGACGGCTCCGGTGACGACGCCGGAGTCGTCTACTCGGAGATGCAGGGTGTGCAGAATAATTCTGCAGAGTTAATCGATCTAACCGCTCGTCGATTGACTTACCCGCATGGTGTAGGCTTCCGCTACGAGACAGGCGGTATGATGGAGCAGCTCCGTGTACTCACCGCGGATCGTATCCGAGCGTTCCATCGTGAGATGTACCAGCCCAAGAACTTATGCCTGATTATCACAGGCGAAGTAGATCACCAAAACATGCTGGAGACCTTGGACAAATTTGAAGATACTATTCTAGATGTCATTCCCAGTCCTGATTCACCTTTCAAGAGACCGTGGGTAGATTCCAAGCAGGCGCCGCCATTGGAGAAGTCCATTGTTCAGACTGTGGAATTCCCGGAAGAAGATGAATCCTTTGGAGAGATAGAGATTAGATTCCTCGGTCCGGACTGTACCGATCCTGTTCAAAGTGAGTGTTTCGCCATTCCTCTCATTTCGAAGTGATACTTACACTGTAACAGCTGGGGCTGTTAATGTTGCATTGTTGTATTTGGCCGGTTCATCTGCTTCCCTCTTGGACAACATCTTGGTTGAGAAGGAGCAGCTCGCCAGTGCTGTTTATTATGCTACCGAAGATCATCCCAGTATTGAGATCCGCTTCACTTTGACCAGTGTGGAGACAGAGAAACTGGCGAAGGTAGAGCAACGATTTTTCGAAGTGCTCAAGGATGCTATGGAGAAGGAATTGGATATGAGATATATCAAGGAGTGCATTGACCGGCAAAGGCGGACCTGGAAGTTCTCTACTGAAAGCTCCGCTTCTTCCTTTGCGGAGTACGTGATCTCGGATTTCCTTTTCGGAAAGAGGGACGGATCGACTATGCTTGATGTTGCGACCTTGCAAGAATACGACGTGTTGGAGAAGTGGAGTGAAGCACAATGGCGCACTTTCATCAAGACGTGGATTTCTGATGCCAACCATGTCACTATCCTGGGTGTCCCGTCCGTCAAAATGTCTGACGCACTGAAGAAGGAAGAAGAAGCTAGAGTCGCAGAGCAAAAGAAGCGCTTGGGTGAGGAAGGGCTGAAGAAGCTGGCCGACAAGCTGGAGAAAGCTAAAGCTGAAAATGACAAGGAGATCCCCAAGGAGATGCTGGAGAGGTTCCAAATTCCCGGGGTAGAGTCTATCCATTTCGTGGACACTACTACAGCCAGGTCCGGTGCAGCCCTGGATGCCGGACGCCCGTCCCACAAGGCGCAACAACTGGTGGATGCTGATGGATCCGACCTGCCCCTGTTCATCCATTTTGAGCATATCCCCAGTAGCTTCGTGCAGCTCTCCCTTCTCATTTCGGCGCAGGCCGTACCTGTGCAGCTTCGCCCATTGCTGTCTGTGTATACCGAGGCGTTTTTCAACCTGCCTGTCATTCGGAATGGGGAAACCATTAACTTTGAGCAGGTGGTTGTGGAATTGGAAAGGGACACAGTTGGCTACTCCATGGAAGGAGCCAGAAGCCTAGGAAACTCGGAGATGCTGCGGATCTCATTCCAGGTGGAGCTTGAGAAGTATCATACGGCGATTGCATGGATCCAGGAACTTTCCTGGAACTCGATTTTCGATGTCGAGCGACTCCGAGCGATTACCAGCCGACTGCTTTCCGATGTGCCCGATTCCAAGCGTAGTGGTGATGACATGCTCGCGGCTGTTCATGTGATGGTCCACTACGCGGCAGAGTCTATTGTTCGGGCTCGGAGCACCTTGGTGAAGGCGCGTTACCTGAAACGGATCAAGAAGCAACTGGCAGAAGAGCCGAAGTCTGTCGTTGCGCGGATGGAAGAGATCAGAGACGCGCTTTTCCGCTTCGAGAACATGCGAGTCTTGGTCATCGCTGACCTGGAGAAACTTCAAAACCCTGTGTCAGCATGGAAACCATTTGCTGAGCGTTTGGGTGCAGGTGCCCCTCTGCAGCCTATCACGGCCAGAAGACCGTTGCTCAGTGAGGCTGGTCAGAAGTTGGGCGGCAAGTCGTATGTGGTACCAATGCCGACGATTGATTCATCGTTCGCATATGCAACTGCACGGGGTCTGGATTCGTATGATGATCCAAGACTTCCTGCCTTGATGGTTGCAATCGCATACATGAATGCGGTCGAGGGACCCCTTTGGGTTGCGGTTCGAGGCAAGGGTTTGGCATATGGCACAAACTTCGCCTACAATATCGACACCGGATTCGTCAACTTTGACGTTTATCGCTCTCCCAATGCCCATAAGGCCTTCGACTCAAGCAAACAGATTGTTGAGGATCACCTCTCTGGTGCGATGCCGTTCGATCCTTTGATGCTAGAGGGCTCCATTAGCAGCATTGTTGTTAGCTTTGCGAATGAACAGTCGACCATTGGTGCCGCAGCCTCAGGCAGTTTCATTCGACAGGTGATTCGGCGCCTACCTAGCGACTACAAAGAGCGGGTGCTCAAGCAGGTGCGGGCCACTAGCGTTGATGACGTGAAGGGCGCTCTGAAGAGCATCATTCTGCCTTTGTTCAACCCATCCACGGCGAATATCGTGGTTACCTGCGCTACAGTGCTTGAGGAGGTTTGTTTTTCTCCTGAAATCATCATATTCTCTTGTATCACTTACTAACTGTCGGCTTAGACCATCAAGGAAGGTCTCCAGGCATCGGGATTCACGCCAGCGGTGCAGCCACTCAAGGAATTCGAAGATGACTATGGACTGAAGGTCGGCGATGATGAGGACGAGGAGTCTGATGACGACGATGACGATGATGAGTACGAAACCGGATCTGAAGACGAAGACGACAGCGATGAAGACATGGAGGATGACGAAGATGATGAATGATGCAACCCACCCAACGACCACTAGACATGACAGGATATGTTTGAGCCCGTTCCTAGATAGCACCTAGATCGAAAGATCAGCTACCTCTTTGAGGGACACTGAAAGTCTGGGACAGATATGCCGACCCGTGTGATCTGTATTGTTAAAGATGTTTCCAACTGAGCAGACACGCAAATGATTTTTGAAGTTCCTGATATATTGTTCAACCTAAGTGCCAGTCAACAACCAGAGACTTGGACCTAAACTAAATGCTGTAGTTTATTGACACCTACCAGACCTTGGCAATGATATTTTGCCAGTACTTCACGAAGATGCTTTCGTTCCTCTCCATTCTCCTGGCCTGTTGTAGTAAGGAGTGCTGGCAGATGCTTTTGCGTTCAGTTCGACTACTAAAGATTACTTGGCCCTTAGTCTCGTAGGTGACATGACCTGTCCTTCACTGCTTCAAGCAGTTTGTACCAAATGACTTCTATCTCTCGATCTTCGTGAGAGAAATATAGCTAACCTTAGATGTTAGACCTACATCCTGACTCCACCACACTTCAAGTAAATAAACCAAAACACGTGACAATATGATATCTATGTATGAATATGTATATGGTACACATAGGACAACGTCCTATTAATGGTAGCTAGATAGAACCCCTAGACTCATACCACCCCCATCCCAGTACCGCAAAGGATACCCCCGGAACGCGAGCAAGGTCCGCTCGGCATATTCCAAGCTGAATCTCCTCATGCCATCCTACTCTGAGGGACACAGAGGACAAGACGCATCACCGAACTTCCCCACGAGTAAAGTAAATCCAGATACCGCAAAAATCAAAGAGCAAAAAACGTCATAGTACACAGCCCACATACATATGAGATTGAACAGAAACCAAGGAACCCATCACCACCAAACAATGCATTCCCAATCTACCAGCTCAGCGACTTTCGCCCCCTAGCCCTTCTCCTCAACAGAATCTTCCGTCCACCTCGCGAGCGCAACCGAGCCAAGAATCCGTGACGGCGCTTCTGCACCCTCCGCGAGGGGTTGTAGGTATCGCGCTTTCCGCCCAACGAGGCACTAGCGGAGAAGGAGCGGGTCTGTTGGTTTGCGAAGGAGTTGTTGGTGGAGAGCAGAGAGCGGATAGTAGTGGTGGAAGAAGAGGTAATGAGGCTCTGAGAGGGGAGATGTTGTTGAGGGAGGCGGAGCGAGGAGAGGGTCGTGGAGGAGAGGGCACGGAACGGTGTTGATAGAGAGGTTGCGGTGGATGTGAGCGGTGCGGAGGTGAGTCTAGTGAATCAGCTCAAGTCAGACATTTCGTTCATCAATGCTATTAAGTGCCTAAGGTGCCAGAGCTTCCCCTGACAATTTGCCTGCCCCGATTGAGGAATCGGACCATATACAGAGCCCAGATGCGTGGTCTCATTGGATCCAAGGTGCCAGACTCGGACGGACGTACCTGGTTGCTGGGGTCGCAAAGGACCTGAAAGCGGTCGGCAGAGCCGTACACCGAAGGCAAAGCATATTGATGAGAAGGTTGAAGACGACGGTGGGGCGTAATTGGACGTCGCTGACGCGGAAACCTGGGGACGGCGATGGAGGGATGCGAGATGTTGTCCGTGACGGCGGACTGAAAATTGAACTCCGGCGCCGCAGTGCACGGACCACCTCCGACTTTTTCTCTCCGCCGGACGATGCAAGAGCGCATCTACAGTTCTCCATATCTGCTCAATTGGTGCAATAAACGAGCAATAACGAAATAAACCGGTTCTACCTACTTTGACACAACTTAGTACGGAAGGTTGCTATTATTACTGGACGAATAACCCTTCTCGACATTTGGGGCACTACTCCGATTACAAACCTTTACATATACTTGAACACTTCTGCGACAAGTCGAGAAACAATATCACTATATACCACAATGGCCACCCAGGGTCCCTCTCCGCTACCCCCTACAACCATCCTCTCTTCCAAGCCTATCTCCCAGGCTGCCGCGCACGATTTCCTAGCCGCCTATCTCGATCGCGCCGCCACAGACCCCGCCCTCCAACCTAATGCCGGTATCAGCGAACATGGTCCGACCTCGCGCACCACGGCTGCGGCACCCAACCTCATTTTGCACAACCTGAAGCGCGTTCAGGCTGGTCTTGCTGGCGAAGTTCTGGGCAGGGACCTGGCTCTTGCGAAGCTCAGCGCTGGAGAGGATGGCAATGCGCAGCAGACAGAGGCTGGAAATGAGGGGTGGGAGGACCCGAAGAAGCTTCAAGAGGAGGTTGTTGCTGCCGATGATGATGACGATGTCCGGATGGATATGGATGCTGTTGAGACAGAGCAGAACGCCGAGACTGCTGCGGGTCTTGATAAAGAGGAAAGGAAGCGGAAGAAGAAGGAGCGCAGACTTGCAGAGAAGAGGGCAAAGGCCAAGTCGGACGCTTGAGTAGGAAATGAAAGCGAAAGAAAAGTTACTGTTTTGCGCGCAGGTTTTGCTATGGGCTGCATCAGCTTTGCTACGGGATTTGTTTTTCGGCTGTTTGTCTTGGATTTCCAAGATATATTAGACTTGTGCATATTGCATTGGCGCATTCAAGGCGAACTTAATTTATTGGAAGACAATTACGATTGGTTTATTATAACCGGTGATAAGAACTCAAAATTCCATTAACAATTGGATATGCCTTCAGAAGCCCCATATCCGGCGGGCCTCTCCCCTCAACCGGCCCTGTAACACCATACCAGAAAAAGAAAGGAGACACTAGAATGTCAACTTTTCACAGCTCGCGGTCAGCCGCCTTAACTGGTTTCTCACTATCCTCCTCCTTGAGAGCGGTAACCTTTCCACCCTTCCAACCGAGCGCCTTGAGTCTCTCGGAAAGAATAGGGTGAGAGTAGTGGTAGCTTGCGTACATCCAGTCAGCGTCCATGGTGCTCAAGTTCTGGATCTGCAGCTTGAGAAGGGATTGCGCCAGCTGCTCAGAATAACCGAGACCGACCGCAAAGGCATCTTGATGGTTTGATTAGTATCGTGCCATAATCACGGTTTTGAGTCAAGGTGCTTGAAGGCTTACCAGCTTCGAATTCGAACTTGCGACTGAGAATGTTCATCAGAAGCTTGACAACAGCATCCATCGGTGCGAGAGCATCCGAGAACAAGAGGAATCCGATCATGATGGGCTGTTGGCTATAGAAGCCGAACGACTGATACAAAGACTTGTTGCTCACGAATGCGGAGAAGAGCGCAAAAATGTAGAACATGTGGAACTAGTATAGGTCAGCCTGTCGTTATACTATTTCGACCACTCACAAGGAAGTGGTTGGTCAGCTTTGTGACCCAGGAACATACCTGAGCAATACCGAAAAGCTTTGTGGTGTGGCTGAGACTCCAATGACCCAGTTCATGGCTCAGGACTGCAACAACCTCCTCAGGCTCACTCTTCTCGATCAAAGTGTCGTAGATGACGATGTGCTTTTTCCAAGGGAGACCATAGAAGTAGGCGTTGCTGTGTGCGCTCCGCTTGCTGCCGTCAATAACATGCAGCTCTTGAAGAGGGAACTTAAGCTTCTTAGCGAGGTTTTCGACACCGGTCTTGATGGCACCAGGCTCAAGGGGCGACAATTTGTTGAACAAGGGCAGGATAACAATAGGGTAGATGGTGATAGCGAAGATCTGGAGGAAGACACCAAAGAGCCACAGGTAGTAGAAGAAGGAGTTGCCGGTCTTCTGGATGATCTTGAGAACTGCGCTAATAATGGGTGTTCCAAGTACGATACCAAGCATCTGTCCCTTGAGCAAGTCCGTAACCCAGAGACTGAAAGTCTGCTTGTTGAAACCAAACTTCTCCTCGAGGACGAAGGTATTGTAGTACGAGATGGGAAGAGAAAGAACCGTGCTGATCAGGTTGAATCCGAAGACAAATAGCAGCGTCTGCGAGATTTCACCTTGGAACCGAGAAGGAAAGTATTGTGCCAACAGGAGACCGCTGACTCCCCAAAGCTTGGGGAGAATGTCGCCATAGATGAAAGCAAGATTCTGAATTTGACCGTAAAGACCTGCAACAAGACCGAATTTGGCTTTGGCGCGACCGTAAGACTAATGAGCCCGGAATCATCTGATCAGTATGATGTGGTTGCTGAGTTCATGTAGAGATGCTTACCTGACTCTGATCGAAAACCTTCTGGGAAACCTCGCCCGCCAATACTTGTGGGGGCTTGGTCCGTTGCAGTACTTTGTACTGACGGAGAGACAGAAAGCCCTCCAGAAGAAATTGGCCTAGAGAAAATCCGACGAGGACATTCTTCCAGGGGATGAATGGGCGGTCGAGGAAACGCGCCAGTTGCTGTAACGGCCACGGATGACCCAAGTTAGCTGGAGCTTCAAGCTTAGAAGGTAAGACCAGATGAACTTCTAGTATGGTGATGAAGAGGTCTGTATGGGAACTTTACCTCTAGGATATACATTGCGACACCGGCAGCACAACAGCAGCCTGAAATTGAGCCTGCTGTGATGTGGCCTTTTGGTTGCGGACAAAGCAATGAATGGGGGAGTAAGAGAATAGTTAAAAGAGGAGCTGGTCCGCGCCTTAGTCAACCGCCGCCGTAGCCTCGGAGGCAAGGCCGCAGCAGAACAAACAACTCCTTCATTCAGCTCCCCATTTATGCTTGTTTTCAATAGCGGCGTATTGGACATCAAAGAAATTCTGACTTTTATTTCGTTGCGTTCATCATTCCCCTATACAGCATCTACATAGAGCCATGCAAGCCGGACCGAATAATAAGAATGAACAAAAAAAGAAAAAAAAAATTGTAAGAAATATTTTCCACAAGCGTCGTAACACACGTCAAAGAAGTGGTCTGCGCAACTCCAGCCATGCCACCTGATCTTCTAAAATGCCTTCCCATCCTGCTGCTTGCCCGACCTCCTCGATCCTGCGAACGTTTCAACTGGTTATCGTGGAGGATACTCACGATCTCCTGTTCTTCGCAATCATCAGCAGGTGGAATAGGCGACGATTAGGCTCCCTGTGATATCTAATCAGGGAGTTAACTGACACCCCCTTTCGCTACTGCAAACCATTCTACTTCATTCGTGACTTGACCCTGCCAAGACTTGGTGTCAGAGACTCTTTGACGT